CAGCCTTACAAGCCATGGTCTTGGCGCTTCTGTCTTTAATCCCTTTAGTTCTCAGGGTCTTTGGAGTTGTTGAGGGCATGCGGCATTTGTGCTTGTAAGAGTTCAAGGCTGGAAACATGAAGCTGGCGATGGTGCTGGCGAAGGGAATTTGGGAATTCCGCGAAGAGGTCATTCTATCATGAAGTAATTTTGCATAACACCCATATGAAGGCCCAAATATGCAATTAGGTCTTTCAAATGCTGGTATCCAAGTTGACCCACATGTGAAAATCGGCTCCGTGAAAGTTTCGCGAAAGAAGACGCGAAAGGATTGCACTTTTTCGCTACAGTTGGCCAAGTCCCAGGAAAGGAATTTTGAACAACCGCCATGTGACTGCTGGTGTCCACAGAAGTAGATGAGTTTTACCACCCTTGCAACACAAGGTTTGCAAAGTCAACACCTAAGTCAAAGTCAAATGAGCAATTGGGAAGGCCACTACCTGATACATGTCATTGCCTCGCCAAGCATCAGGACCTTCGACCAACGGACCCCGCATGCCTTGGCCTTGCCTTGAAACTTTGCATTGCAATGCATGTTTGACAGATGTTGATGGAATTCCTTTTCACACGCTTGATCTGCCAGACAAGGGTTGTTACCGCATGACTGATTTACAACAGGCTTTGAGAAAAGCAGCTATGGCAACATTCAACTTGAGAGCAGACTGTTTCCGACCATTAGCTGAGTTTCCTTCGCAGACCGTAGAACAATTGCAGTTAGTGGCCCACTTTCTCCACTAAAGATGACATTTGTCATCAAGAGCCTAGGATCCCGGTACGCAACACACCTTAGGGGGCGTGTGCTGCGAATCGAGGAACTATTCGGTCTTCTTGTATGAGATCCTGGAAGACCGAGACGTCGCGATAAACATTGCCAGAGAAGCTTTCGAAGACGCTCGCCCAGGGGTTGGTAGAGTCGCGGAAATGCCGGAGGTTATACTCACTTGATTGAATGTGCTCTTGGCCTGTTAAACTCCTCTGGCAATTTTGGGGAAGATTGGGAACGGACTAGAGACATCCTGGAACATGAGACTGAAATTTCAAGCCTGTGTAAGGATGCTATTGGCTTCAACCTGGGGCGAGGTGAGGACAAGGGCGGCAAAAGCCGAGAGCCTTCAAGCAAGTCTGAGGCCTTTGGCTCCCGTGTCTTTCGGCTTAATGATTTTTACTGCGACTCGGGCTGCCAGCATTCCCACACAAAATGGTGTAAAACATTTTTGGGACCTTGCCTCAGCCGATGGCAGGATTGGGAGTTCGAGGGCCTGGACCGCTCTGAAATCACTGTTTGTTTGCAGATGCTGTTTGATTGCATTAGATTTTAAGGTTTCTTGAGCTGCTTGCGACGCATTATCACGGGAAGCAGTCATTCTCCAGAATAACAGCATGTCCGCACCCCTACAATATCCAACTTTCTTGGCAGCACCTAAGAAGAGTCTAGCCAACCTCTAGAATAGGACGCTATGTGACACGAAAGCTGCCGTTCCTGGACGGGATAGACAAGTGTCATGACAATGGAAAATTTATGTGCGGGACACGTTCTGTTGGGCAGCTGAATCAGTGTCTCAGGTTGAGGGACAACATCACCCTGTGGATTCAGGAAAGCGAAACGGGCAGCTTGACAGGATGAGCTTTGAGTGCTGGCAAGTTGCCAAGATGAGCATCCTGGCATCCTCTTCGACATGTACTTTTGGTGCCTTCAGGGCCTTCAGCGGTGGTGATTTTCGCTGCGCATGCTGCGAGCTTGAAAGCTGCAGGGACTGGCTCTGTGGGGCAGCCGAGACTACTAGACTACGGGCCATTCAGCCAAGCGAAGCTGCGACGAGCTTGTGAAGTAAGACAAGAGGCTACATGGAGTCTTACACAGAGGCTACATGGCAGGCGCAGCTGGCCCGCGGCGTGGAATGACCAAAAGAGCGCAGAGGTTGATCATGTTTGTACTGACGGGTTTCGGCAGCACAGCGCGGGGCCCAATGCATGCACACGTCACTTTGAGCAAAACTGTCGCAAGAGTTTCATGCTTCATCTTTTCTGATGGGTTGTTATGAGCTTGTGATAGCAGAGGCTGTTTCGTTGCAGCATGGACATGGGCGAAGTGCTGTTTCGCAAGCATGTTCTGCCAGGTGGCCTCCACAGAGGCCGAAATGCAACAGCCAGAGACTGAAGGTCGTGTGTTGCACTGACTGGGTAGCGCATCTTTGTGAGCACGAAGATGCCTCCTCATAGACTTTAAGCGTGGCATTGTGCTGTATACTACACCTCTGCTGGCTCAGGCTGCACGAGCCGCAGCAACAGCCACAGCCACAACAGCATCAGCAGATGCCGCAGGCTCGTCAAGAACTGATGCACCCCAGCCTACTGATTAGTGTTGTGTCGACCCATCTTGGCAGTTCTATGAGCCTCTGCTTCATGGATGATGTGCAGGCAGCGGGCGCGTGGATGGCATGTCAAACGGCAGAAGGCAGGGAACTCAACGTCAGGCCAGTGAACAAGCCCGCCAGGATGTGCCCACTATCTCACGGCATAGGATTGCAAAACTAGCCTTTTGCACGTGAGCGCGGCTTTTGACAGACTTCTCGACCTTTTGAACTCGTTATGTCGCCTTAGCCTTCAGAGGCTCAAGGCCGGTTACATGTGTTTGCTTTCTGGCCCAGGCCATGTCTACTACTACAACCAGAGCACCGGCGAGTCGTCCTGGGACCCTCCACCTGAGATGGCAACCCAGGCGGCACTGGACCCCGTTGAGTGACTGTTTGCTTTGACAGCGCTAGCTGTCCAATCGACTATTCATGAATCGTCCTCTGCAGCAGCATGGCTGGACATGCAGTTTGGAGTGAACCATTGACTGCGACCGGGGGAATTCTCAAGGATTCGCTGAAGCAAACTGGCCAACATTGAAGAACTTCCCGATTGTCAACAACTCCGTCCGATTGTGACAACATGCTTTGGACTTGCACTTTCGTGCGCTCCGGGGCTTAGGGCGATTCCTGAGGCTGTTGCGCTGCGTTTCTTGCGCTTTTGCTAGCCCGGCAGCTACTTGTTGCAATTGTTACTGTGTCCCATTCTCTGCTCACAAACCGCGCCGCGGAATCGGCCAATCTGGCTAGCATCGAAGTCACAGCTGCTAGCATCCTGGCAGGCGGCCCAGGGCGGTGCCTGGGATGGTCCCTTGGCTCTTCGAGGTTTTGACTGCTGCTACCGCGTAGAACTAGCAGCAGCAGCGGCAGCAGTCGCAGTCACACTAAGAATAGCACAGTAGGTTGGCACAACCCTAGCTTGGCCAATGGAGTTAGATTAACACCGCTCCCTCTTTGCCGAAAATAGAAGCGCGTCGAAGGCTCACTGGTGAGGTGTGGGCGTGGATGTAGGGATATCAGTGGTTAGCACACGTGCCATGCCTCTATACCCAAATCTCATGGCGCATGATAGAGCTGGCGTGGCATGCCACTAGCTTGCTAATGCAATTTAACACCTCCCTTTGTGTGAGCCCTGGGGTTGCGCCATCCCGAATCTGCCGCACGCCTAGGTCTCTATGCAGCACATGCTGCAGAGGCAGGGGTGTGATGCTTGCTTTGCTTCTTGTCCTAAGGTGTATGTAAGGTAAGGGCAGTTTTTCTTGTAGCTTCTGACTAGCTGTGAAGTCTCCAATGAAAGGGTAGAGGAAAAGAATTCAGCTTCTCAAGGAGGCAGCCCGTCTACAGCGGCAACAGTACGAGGACCAAATAGGCATGCTCGTCAAGCAATGACCGCGAGTTCTGCAACTTTAGATTTGAGAGCGTGGCAGCTGCCGGGCCTCTTCAAAAAAGTCCCAGAGATTATGACAGCCAAAAGCTAATACCATACAGTGGCTTGATGATCTCTATCATGCCTTGCATCTTCCAGCGCCACCGCTAGTTATTCATTTCGCACAACCGCTGTCGCAGGTGCTTTCTGTGATATTTGCATAAAACAGTGTCCCAACTGTCGAAAGCTGCCCCTCCTGGTCCCAAATGGGGTTGCTTCAAAAGTTGCCATCTATCTACGACTTATCCTACACATGTCCAGCTAACAGGTAATGGGACGGCTTGACTCCATGAGCAGTAGGTATTGCGCGCGTGAACTTGCCCAAGCTATACAGGATATTAGAATGCGTGCTAGGGAGGCCTGTGCCCAGCATAGTTACTTAGCACTTCTGTGCAATCGTGCCACATGTACTCCACAGTCATCAAAATCCTTGCTATAAAGGTCTGTCTGTTGCCGAGGCATTTATCGAAGCTTAGAGTAAACACTACCTCCCAGGACGCGCTGCGGCAGATGCAAGCGGCGGAGGAAGCTGCCAGGGCGCAGCGCCAGCAGCCACTGAGCCAACAATTTACGAGCTTGCAAGGGGCTACATGGGGCAGTTAGCAGTTAGAGCTGCGCCAAGGTGAAGCATTGCTGGCTCGCTTTGCTCTGTTGCTATATTGACTGAGGTGGGATCAGCTCTATGCCCAGCATTTCGCCGCCAGCCAAGCTCAAGGGTATTTTGAAAGCCTGCTAATGTGCTGATTGTTTCGGCATTTCGCACCCCTTAGATGTCTTGAGGCCTTGCCGCAACTCATGCCATGCGATTCCAAGCACCCATGTTGTTGACAACATGTGAGGCGAAGGCATGTCAAGGCCATGGTAGGAATCGGAATAAACAGCCCTTGGCGTCAACTTGGTGAGGTGTGATGCTGGCTAATTGCGGTAGCAGCTCCGGCTAGAATTGCCGCTGGTTCATTTCGTCCAGTCTGAATGTTTGCGAGGCCTGGTACCAGCAACAGCAGCATCAACAACAACAGCAGCAGGCCCAGCAGGCCAGACATGGCCAGGACCTTGTTCTGAAGCGCGTTTGGTCCTATTCTGCTCACGAAGCGTGATCTCTGGTGTGCCAGACAGAAACACATTTTCTGGAACAGGCTCCGGGCACGCAGCCTGCGGAGAGTGCAGCATCTGGCATGGCTTCGGGCCCAGCCAGTGGTGTGAAGCTTGCAGAGACAGATGCAGATGCTCTGTGTGCTCTGGACGGACATTCGGCTCATTTGATGCTTGATCTAGTTGAAGCACTCTTTCAAGGAAGAGCCTCGCCGAGGTTCCGCCAAGCCTCAACGCAAGCATGGAGGTGGGTGTTGACTGTAGACAGGTACTTTCAGTTGACAAGGGCTCTGGCCGGCATCTCGTTTGAGGAGCACATCTCAGTACAGGGCTGTAGGTCCTCACATTCGAATGTCTGCTCACGTGGGCAGGAGCAGATCGCATTCGTCAGACCCTTAGCAACTGCAGCCGGCGCATCGCCTTGAACACACAAAAATCACTTGGATCTAAATCTCAAGTTATTTGCTTCAACCTGTAGAGCTAAGGCCATGAAGTGCAGCTTAGTGCAGGAGATGGAGGAGCCGCCAGAAGTTCGGTTGGGCTTCGGTTTTGAAATGATCTGCTTCGTTTCATCACCGTCTGAACTATGCGTCGTACATTCGGTCCATCGGTTCGATCGGTTCATGACAGCGAGGATTGCGTGGTTGAGGTGATGAGCGCTAGTGCTGTGATGGCAAGCATTGCAAGCATTGTTCGTGGTGGATGATTGCGATGCTATCCGGATGGGATGATGACACGGCGGTTTCAGGCGATGATGTCACATTTTTTGTGCAAGCGTTGCAGCGCATAAGGCCTGCGAGGTCCCCATTTTTTGCATGGAATCGCCTCTTAAGCGTGCTCATGCTGATTCATGCGTGTTCGAAATCTCCCGCAGAAAACGGCCCACCAAGTCTTTCAGGCCTGAAGTCATGCCTGACTTCTCTGCATCTTCCATCCTCTGCGGAAGCCCAGAAGTCCCAACTGCGAGGGAATCGTGTTCCAAGCAGTTTCGGGCCTGAAAAGCTTGAAATCGCGACTCCGCCACATCGTTCTTCATCTCAAAGTGTCTTTTGATGAGATGTAAGAGTGAATCTTGCTGGCAACAGCCGTAGAGGATGTCAGTTTCGCCCCCGTTACATTATTTACGTTCATTCTAGGGGTCAGGGCTGTGTGACCAAAAACGTTTTCGGTCCTGCAAAGCTTTAGGTTTGTTCCGTCTCTGTTTCTGTGGAGGCAGTTAAAGTGGAAGCAGTTAGAGGCTTGAGGTGTAAATTAAAGAGCGAGTGTAGGCTTTCAGAATAAGGGATTGGGCCATGCATGGTTGAACTCAGTAAAGGGATCAGGGTTGGTGGCAGAAGCATGGTTCACAACTCGAGGAAAAAGCAGTTGAGGGCGAGATAGGCAAACGTTATACATTCCATGATGGCATGATGGCTTCTGAACTACTAGCTGCACTGCGGTGGCCCGTAAGTCCGACATCCTTCTATGAAGTTGATTCTGGAAGAGCTGGCTCTTACATGTTGAGTTTCTTCGGTTCCAATTCAATGTTTGCGGGTTCACGGTTCACGGGGTTCAGTGCCTGCTCTGCCCGTGTGGCCTTCAGGATAGACTTTTACACTGATGGCGGCCGTTCGTCAAGTAGATTGCTGGGCCTAAAAGCACAGCATCAACCGGCCATGTAAGTCACAAGCTCAATCCATTAGCTGGGAGGAAATGATAACGTCTGGGGCATCCGTGGCAGACCGGAAGAAGGCTGGCAGATGCCTTGCAGTGCTGTGCAGCATCTGGACTTGACAAGGCCGCAGCGCAAAACTAAGCGGTACGTGGTAGGGCCATGAGGATGTCTACCATCTACGCGTTTGCAAGTTCATAATCTCATTTATCCTGCCTTGAGTGCCAGTGCGATGACATGTAAAAGCTGTTGTATCAGGCAACTTGGCTCAAGTATTTGTTTTCGGGCAAAGTGTGACGCCTTTCGAGAAAGGTCCCAGCGCCTCACATTTTTTTAAATATATCTGATGCCGGCCCTGGCCATGTAAGTTCTGAGCCACAGTGGATGGAGACAAGGTAAATAGTTGATTTGGCCCTCCTTGCTGGTCAGGCCCTCAAGAACTGGCAGATAAAGTGGCACCCGGACAAGAATCCAGAACAGGAAGAGGCTTGACTCCGGGCGTTGCAACACCTAGAGCATTTGTAGACACTTGCATTGCTGCATGGCTTGGCCGGAGCCAGTACATGTCTTCGCCAGTACCAGCACTCATTCTGCCAGCGAGTCACGAAGCCACCCATCCATCGCGAAGAGCGCTTCCAGTCAGTGCCCCACGCAGCGCAAGCGCACATTTGTTCCTGTTGCGGCTCAAAGCGTCTGCATCCGTCCTTGGCCTGCTTGCTGCCCTTGCTGCCAGCAAATTGCCGGCCATGGCGCCTAAGGCGGCGCCGAAGGCCCGCCATGCCAGAATGTAATGACGGTCTTTGTGGGAGCTCTTCCGGCACAGGCTTTGTGTAGGGTAGGCCCTGCAAACCAGCTGCAGATGCAGAGCTGTCCTGCAATCTCATGTTGCTTTATAGCCGCGCTCGGTAGCTTTTCATCAAGGCCCAACAGCGAAGCACGCCTCCTCCAGAAGGCCACACGGGCTTCGCGCTCATTGGTCAGTCGTACAAACAGGGTGAGCTGGTATGCAGCTTGAGGTTTTCAGGTGGAGCGGTGAGCAGTGAAGGCTGCATGTAGCAGGGACAAGAGCTGACAAAAGTAGCACGAACGCATTGCAAAAACACAGAACTGCGAGAAGCGTGGCCTGTCTGTGCGCGCATGTTGACGCTGCATGGCAACAGTCTTTGCTGGAGGACCTGGAGAGGCAGAGCAGGAGCTGGGAGATGATTATGACATGCCAGTCATCGTGAAGGCGGGCGCCCTGCAGAGCTGAGAGTCGTTGTGATTGCTTTCCTGGTAAGTTGGGAGATGCCACTGCGTAATTCCAGTGGACTGGCTGTCTCTTGCTCCAACCCTCAGCCCCAGAAAATACCGGTGGTGCGAGTGGGGGCCTCTGCCAGGTGCGACCTGACGATCAGCTTCCGCTAGAGCCGGAGGACTTGCACCACACTTGGCCACACTTGGCCAACAGATGAAGGCGGTAGGCGTTTGACCAGATCTCATTCAAAGTACTGAAGGAGCTCGAGAAGGAGGTGCCTCCGCGCGTGCTCTACCCGCTAAACCCGCAATCAGCGCACAACACAACGTGCCTTTAACTGAACGGATACCGCAACTTGGGCCTTGCACCCTTGTGTCACACACGCGCATGAGCGCACTCAGGCAGTATTCCTTTAAGGAGAAGTGCTTCAAGGTAGATGAGCAGGCCCCTGCTGCACGTGGTAGATACATTGGTGAGGCATCCTGAACAATTCGGCTTTGAAATGTGCCCTGGCTGACGGCTGACTTGGTAACGATTTGCTTGGAATGGCACCTGTAAACTAAGACTGCAAGTCTGAGTGGGCGAGCTGCACGAATTCAAGTGAGCCTGTGATGGAATTTGCTGGGTTGTCTTCGGAAGGTGGACCAGGTCGTCATGCACTTTGCCAGAGATGGCCTCATACTGCTTAAAGACAGCCCTGAAGCACAAGATCAGATGGAGGCCTGAACAGGATGCCTGAGCTAGCGCGGCTTCATAATTCAGGGAGCTATGTTTGAGATGTTTGAGCTATGGAGCCTGGATGCTAGCAGCTGGCAAACTGAGGCCGCAGTTTTTAAGTTAAGCTCTTGCGGCGGACCCGTTCAGAACTCCAGGTGCTTGAGAAGAAGGAGGCCGAACAGAATGAGAAAGAGGAGGCCGAAGCCATCGATGAGGATTTTGATCCACCAGAGAACGACAAGGACAGTATTCGAGGGCCTGAGATGACCTGAGACATTGTGATGCAAAATGAACTCTGACCCTGAATCGCGATCAAGGTTGTTCTTTGAAACGCGAACTTGGACGTTTTGCTGGCTTGCTTCATGCATGCAGCCTCCTTGCAGTAGGGAGACAGGGTTGCTCCAACGGCATTGTGCCTCACAAGAAGACAAGTGCTTGATAGAGTTTGTTGGCCGGTCCTTCGAATGCAGGAAGTTCCGGTGAAAAATCCGCTGCGACTCTTGTCTGCACAACGTGGCCCTGCGTGGGCCAGCAATTACATTAGACATTGCCTTATCTGGCCCTCAGCATCGCTCAACATTGGCAGCCTGCATGGGTTCCTGGATCACGCGCTCTGGCAGGCAATCAGTTCAACTTCTCCGAGAGGGCCGCGCAATCAAAGAATGCCCTGCTGCGTGACTTGCCTGTGGAGCTTGTTGAAGTAGATTTCAGCTAGTGTCAGTCGTTCTTCACTTGGGGGCATGCTATCCCTTTCCATGCGATGCGCACTTCCGAGGAGAGAGAAGTTGGACAACAGAGCCCCCGCCCACCACCAGGCATCAACCACTGGAGCTGGCTGCCGCAGGGCACTGGCTCACTGATGTGCTGCATGCTCCGGTGTCAAGCCCTGTCAGGAATGACGGCACAGTCACTCAGTGGGAGATCTTCGACCAGTACATGGCAGACATCGAAGCTGCGAAGGTTGGACCAGCGCAGTCACATGCCGGGCTTCGCTTGGGCTTGACGCCTGTCTGTTGGCAGCCGGATGCTTGAACCGTGGCAAGTTTTTGATGACAGGAAAAGGAAAAGGAAGTTGCCTGGCTGCATGCTCGGGCACATAGCACTGACTCTGGCTAGTTTCAGATCTGCGAATGTCATGACCCTTGCCACTGTGAAATGGCCTTTCTGCTGGCAGCCCATTGCGCAGGACAAGAAGGGAGGAAAGTCCGTTTATGACGACGTCTCCGAGAAGAAAAAGAAGTCTGACACCGACCCTACTTACTCTGAGAACATGAAGCTTTCCATCAAGATCATGGAACGCGCCTTGACCTGATGAGTCAGGCTGCGCAAGCTGAGCAAGCGGAAGTAAAACCTGGCTTATTTCTCTCAATTCCTTCGAAAATGCGAGTGTTGACTTCACATTAAGGACTACCCGGACATTTATAAAACCCGGCTGCCGGAACACAACTATAACACGCCCCCCACAACCATAGAATCCCGAATGTTGTTTTGAAATGTCCTGTCGGCAACGATCTTAATAGGATTCCAATTGGCTCTAGATAGATTTTCAATCTTACATTTTTGGCATCATTATTCTGGGGCTCCCCAAGCCGGAGATAGATCAATCGGGGGGGTGGGGGGGCATTATGTCATGACGAGGGCGTGCAAGGCCTGAATTTGAGCTTTATAGCCTCCTTGCAAGCGCCAGCGGCCTAGTGCTTCCTTTGAGGCATGGTGAATCAGAACGCTGAGAACGAGGTCTATCATGACTTCAAGCATTCCGACGGCAATAAGTTCAAACTTGAAGCCAAGGTTGGCGAGACCTTTGATGAACCAACTAGCAAAACTGAGTCCCCGAGGAAATATGCATAGCGAAAGAAGACCAGCATACGGCTTCCCATCAACAGCCACATTTCACTGTTGTGTGAGACGTTGTCGTAGGCGTCGTAGTAGCCGTGCTGGTGGTAGGAAGGATCGTGATAGTTGTAGTTGTAGCAGTAGTTGTTGGGGAGCTCGTTGTGGTAGTGGTAGCTGTAGAGGAGAGAGGTGAAGTAACCTGCTGAGACCAAGGGCCGGACTGCTACTCCAGGATGTTGCTCAATGCAGCGCTTCGTGTTTCGTCATAGGCTTGCACTGTGCCCAGCGCGACACTCTGGCGTAAGGTACTGGGAAGACCGGAGCGATGAGTTCCGCGACGGTAGCTGTGAAAGCACTGGGACTCACTTTTGATATCTGTTGATGTAGCAGAGCATTTACGCCGTCACCAAGCGATGAGCCATGCTAAGTGCAAGAGCAGCACACAACCTTGTGAGAAGCGCGTTGTCGAAAAGCGCTAGGTGAGGGCACGCTGCTACCACTTTGGCGCTTCTCTTCCGAGAAAGCTAAGAAGAAGCAGGCCCGACTCACGAGGTCTTGCGAGTCTTGCGTTCATTGTAGGAGCCTGAACTGAGAAGCAATTTCAAAAACAAGTCGGAGCTAAACTTCTCTCAGGGCTGAAGGGGTTGCAGTTGCAGGCGAGCGCTTGCGGGCCACAGATTCCCTGAGACCTTGCAGGTGACATGCATCAAGTGGAATCCGCACTACAGCGACCTGTGTGCAGTTGGCTTTGGCTCATACGACTTCATGAGACAAGGCACTGGCGTGATTTGCCACCTGGCTGGACTTGACATGCCAGGCTGCTAAAGGCTGTTGCACAAGGCACTCTTGTTCTCTGTAAGTTCATGCGATCGCTGTGCGAGATTGACGCTTCGCACAGGCTGTTATTCCTTGAAAAACACGCGCTTCCCAGAATACGTCTTCAACACAGATGCAGGAGTTTGCTCTTTGGCGCCTTGGCACTGAGCACTGCCATGGCAGTGACATGCAGTGACTGTTGGCACCAGTTGAGCCGGCCCCGAACCCAACGGTACTTGCAGCTTCAAAAGGCCCTTTTGAGCAAATCCTCTTTCACTGGGGTGAAAGGGGTTTGGCAGCGGCGTTTGTGGAGTTACAGTGCGAGACCAGCGAGGGATCTATTAGGTTCTACCACTCTCGGCCTTGCATGAATGATGCTACCAGCTTCAATGCAATCCAGTACCTTGCCATATTACTCGTAGCATTTATTAGCCGTACCCAGGCAAAAACCTTCCACAGACGCACATAGGTATAGGCCTAGGTTGTCCAAGCAAGCATGTTGGCCAATGATTGTTAAGGACTGGCATCCGGCCCACCCGGCTGTGCTTGCTGTGGGGCTGTACGATGGGACGGTATTGGTGTATGACGTCCGTGCTCGGACAAAGAAGCCGATATACCAGACACTTTTCTAAAGCTATTATGACCGGGAACTGTACAGCAACATGATAGGGCATGCCTTCATGAGGACAGGAGCACTGTAGGTATGCGGTGTTTCCTTTTTCTTGAAACCACGTGATGCTGCAATGGCTAAGTAATGGCCAAGTGACCCAACAACGACTTATCTTCGCTCAGCAAACTCAGCATGGGAAGCTGAGGAGCACAGTCCGCACCAACAAGCACACGGATCCTGTGTGGGAGGCTGGACGCAGCGGGGCATTGA